TATGAGACCTAGACAACTAATAGATACTTAAATATTAAATACCTTTTTTTTTGTAAATACAAACATACCATATACATATAAAAATACCTAGACCAATAGAAACAAGCATTCTCATGAATACAAATATTTACATCGTGAGAGGACTCGAATCTATGACCATAGGAAGTAAAGTGGTGTGCTAAACCGTTAGACCACCGAGACTTTATGCATAATACTTGCTGATGATGGAGCTTTTAGATGTGATTTTTTTTAATCGAATTTTTACCTGTGCCGGGATCTTACTACGTTTTATTCGTTATTACGCGATGTATTACTCGATACTCATCTCAGTCAAACGAAGACGTGTAAACATATGTAGATGTAGTCAAGTCATGTCAAGTAATATGTCTGCCCATATTTTACCATGTACCCACCCTTTAAACAAAATTTTGCTTTTGAAAAAATTGTAACTCGCGACTTCTCGTTAAAAACAGTCTACAATAACATGTCCTCCATAGACAATAGTGACTTCTGACCAAAAAACCTCATGTCTGCTACATCTGACCCAGTTAGTGATCGTACAAAACATTGAAACATCATTAATATCAAATCACGTAACATCATTATGAAATTTGACATTGCCCATACATTATACGAAAATGTGCATTCTGTTTATTAGTACTAAAGTTCATATTGCAATGATTAACACGGATTGCAGGAATTGCCGCCCTTCAGGTGATGTTCCAAACCGATGATATCAAACATTTTTTTAATTAATTGGAATGACGATCAACTGGGATGGTAATTGGCAACCGTCTCCTATATACGTGACCGTATCACGTCGTCATGTGACACATAAATAAATAAATAAATAATAAATTTATTTGCAATAGATTTTGGGTACATACATATATGATGTTATACAAAAACATGGCCCTTGCAAAATCTGCTTATATTAAGCGTACAAATCTTAAGTTAATTAAATTATCGATTGTTTATATAATTATGAATTATTATATATACCTACCTACATATGGTATATGTCAATGTACTTCATGGATTAATATTCAGGAAAAATAAGATATCATGGCTTCATCCCCAATAATATCATTCCCTTTTCTCACCCTTCAATGGAATCACAGCTTACTGAGCAATCTGCTTAATAGTAGAAATGAGTGTGACAGAGGTATCAAAGCAGTAAATAAGTATAATGTGTACAAACTAATTTCGTTAAATTACAGTTTACCATTTCTACACCAGTCCCAATATATTTCATCCCTCTGGCCTACCGTCACGAGATGTGACGTCTTTATGACTAAAAGTAAAACATATACAGTTCACCACTATCAACCCAATATATAGCTATACTACATATAATTAATTAAACAAAAACCGATAGACATGCATTTGGAAATAGCTTTAAAATTACATAAATAATTAAATAACACATCGGAAATTAATTTAAATAAAAAAATATTTGAATCATATTAAAAAATTATCCGTGTCATATAAAATAGTATTAGTTATGTAAATATAATTATACGATGTGATAATAACGATCTTATTGTTGGAGTAATCAGATTGTAATTTTATTAAATAATGTCCTATGATCTACCGTAACTATCTTTTTTTCATCGTTACATAGCTAAATTCACTTTGAACTGATAAATAGGCTTATAATGACTAATCAATATAGTCATAAGTAATACGTCATTCTAGGAGTTATATAAAAATAATAAAATAATAATAACTACAGAAATTAGAAGCAATGACTAGTTGAACGTAACATAGAAGGGACTTCCTTAAGTAATATCGTTAAATTAAACTATAATATAATTATGCAAGTTAAACGCATAGAACGTGCATATTAATTACGTGGCACAGTTCCTAATAATTCTCGTATGAAGCATTTACAAAGTATTTTAAATAACAAATTGTGATCAAAATCGTCAAGTAGTTCGTTCGTCAACGCTATAAAAATAATAAATAATAATAATATCTCAGGACTGATAACACAGCGCCATCTAGTCCCAAGCTAAGCAGAGTTCATTTTATGGGTACTAGACAACTGATATAAATACATGAATACATTTTTTTTATAAATAAATACATATTATACATAGAAAACACCAAGACAGATACAAACAATCATACTCATGAATACAAACGTTTGTACCGTGCGAGGAATCGAACCCACGACCATCGGATAGTAAAGCGGTGTGCTAAACCACTAGACCACCGAGGCTGTCAAGGGTGGAGTTAAGACTGTGAAATTACATGTTAAGATACAACATCTTAATTCTCTGGAATGGCAATACCTAAGTGGTATCACTGGTGTCACTTGATAGCATGATGTCTGTAGTGCTGTTCATGTACAAAGGCAATTGTTATCATTTGCATTTCTGTGGATTATAATTAGACAAAAAAATGTATGAACTATTTGAGAGTTGCAGTTACAATTCAAATTGTATGATTTCCAAAAAGGATCTTAAAAAATTGCTATTTAAAAAAAACTATATAAATTATAAGTAATTACATTTTTATCAGTATTATGTCAGTAATTTCATTTTCTAATAAGTTCTTATAGTGTCAAAGCAGCGTCTACATAATAATAGTGAAATGACACTAATTTTTTTAGTGCTCTTAAGTAATCTAAATTCAAGTAGAATCAAGAAGAAAGAACAAGAAATTTACCGGTTCTTTTCATAAACAATTAATTATAACTATGGATTCATCTTCCTCTATCGCTATTCAGTCCTAAACCATAAAAGCTTGAGTTATAAGTACTAAATAAGTAATATAAAAAAACATTTTTTTGGAAATAAATAATATAATATGCATGGAAGACACTCAGACTAATACAAACAATCGTACTCATGAATTCAAATGTTCGTACCGTGCGTGGTATCGAACCTGCGACTGTCGGAAGTAAGGCGGAATGTTAACCACAAAGGCAGTCAATACGAAGTATTTTTTTTTAATTCTGTCACTCTAGCCCCGCGGGTCAGCCAATTTCTAACAATAATTACAAATTAGCTGACCCGCACAACTTCATCAGCATCACACTTACATTATATTTCGCTTAATGTACATAATATCTTTTTAAATTGTAGCCCATGTGTTATTAAGATGTATAAGATATATTACAGCAAAGTTTCATCAAAATCCGTTCAGAAGTTTTTGCGTGAAAGAGTTACAAACATCCATCCAACCATCAATCCATCCATACTCACAAACTTTAGCGTTTATAAAATTAGTGGGGTTTGGTCAAGAATGAGTAAATGCCGGTTGCTTTTTTTTAAACAGACAGAACAGACTGGTCGAGATAAGCATATTACAACAAAAGTTATTTGATTAGCACGTTTCGAGATAAAACTCAAAAGTTCAGTAATTTTCTATGAAACAATGGCAATTGTACGCCAGTTAGCTGTTTTATGGTGTTTAATTTGTCTATAAGGACACGTTAACTAAATGAGGTAGATCAGTGTTGTAAGCAGTTTTACGGCCTCGCCGGCGGTCTAGTCGTTTATTGCACACTTACTTGAAATGATGCGAGTTCGATTATCACACGAAACATTTTTATTAATGACTAGGATTGTTTACATCTGGGTATTTTATAATAACAGCTTACCGCGAGTTTGTCTGCTTATTTTTTAGTTAAAATATAGAATATGTTTGCTCTCGCGTTACAATGTATTTTCATATTAAATTTCGTTCAGATGTTTAGCCGTGAAAAAGTAACAAACAGACACACACGTTTTGGAATCTAAAATATTAGTAAGGATAATTGTATAGAAAAAAAAGGAATTCTTGTCTCTTTTGTATATACTGAGGTATAGTAATTTAAACTTCTTTAAAAACAACTTCACAATATCTATATATGAGATGAATTACGGATGTTAGACAACTGATACAAATATATTAATTATTTTTTTTGTAAGCACATATATAACATACATAGATAGCACACACAGACTGATAAATACAATCATACTTATGAGTGCAAATATTTGTGCTGTACGAGGAAACGAACGCGCGAGCATCGGAAGTAAGGCTGTATATTAAACCGCTACACCAGTGATACCGTCAATACAATCCACATTGTAGTCCTTTTATAACCATCTTGCTCTCACTTTTCCATTCTTGTATGGTGTGATAGATTAGAAGCTATAACCCAATATAATATGAGTAAAATAAAATTTGTAAACAAGATCGAGTGTGCACAATACTCATGATGAATCATGAACGAAAAGTGCCGAAAATATTTTATGAAAATCTCCTATATTTAAAATTAATCTCCTATTTGTTTTTACTATTTTCTATTGAGCTGATAATAGAATGCTACATTTTATTATATTCTCTATAATCTAAAAACTGTCCAATCAAGGAATATATATTATTTTTTAAATGGTAAAATCTTCAATAAATTGCTATAAAGTATTCAATATAAAGTAAGTATAATCTGGGTAAGCGCACTACATCCCAGGTTTAACCATCATTTCCCATCAGATGAGGTAAGACCAAGCGCAAACCCATTAATAATAAAAAATAAATATAATAAAATGAATTTCTAATAGTTTAAAAAATAACATACTTTTTTTATTAAGTATCTTAACGCTTGGGATATTGTCCCATATAATAACGAAACCTAGAACATATATAGACAATGTGTTTTACGATTTTCCAAGTATTACGTATTACGAAATGATATTAGAGTTCACAGAAAATTGATTATTTTATTAATGAAATACATTCTCATACAAAAACACGTATAATCTATTAAAAATCTTGAATTAGCGTCAGATTGAATGAAATGACAATAACTGCACATGGTAACACAACAAAAACACGTGAGAGAGTGTCAGTTTGTATGAGTTCATTGTTTTTGTTTACTCGTAAAATAGACTGCAATAATCTGCGTGTGCCTAGAATCTATTAAATGTAAGCATTATATTAAAACTACAAACAAAATGTATATTCCATTTTTTTTATTTATTAAAATATTAATAAAAATCACGCACCTTAATTAATTAACAGGTTCTTCGTTTTTTGTAACACAGAAGACCGAAGTAAAGTGCGAAAAACTGGTATTCACAACACTACAGTCACTGCTATGCGTATCCAAATCAACTCACGTTTCAATTTTGAACTTAGAATGACCGTTTGTATTTTTTAATTCAAATATCGAATGCACATCCACTACGAATGGGAGGCGAATGTACGCGTGCGAACCATAGACCACGCTTATAAGCTCTTCCCACATAATACTGCCAATTTGTCATGACCTCTCGACATTCCCTTTCAATACAACCTCGCGGCTCTTTGTAAACTAGATATTTTTCGCGCGTTGTAGGGGCTGACAAATTAATGAAGATTCGGTAATTAGCTGCATTTAAACATATTGTGTTCCGACCGGGTTCTGCTTGCGTAAAACACAATGAAACGAAGGCTGACTCCATTCAGATGTCTATATAATTGGTGTTCTTTCACAGTCTAGACATATTTTACACTGATAGTGCCAAATGTCAAACAGTTCAACAAAAGTATTGCATTAGGTGAATGAAAAACTTACTAATAGACCAATTTAGATGCTTATAGTATAATAGTTATTGCAAACATCGAAAGTGTCGTGAGTTGTCCTTCCGCGGATTCGGAGTCTGGCTGGTCCTCATTTTTTATATATTATTCGGGTAACTGTTAATATAGCTGATAACTCCAGCTACGATACAGCTAAAAAAATTACGTAGATTGTTTAGTGGCAGAAATACCTTTTTACCAGACTGTAAAAAGTCGTTTGCGTGGATACCTCAGTCTCACCTATTTAAAACAGCTGGCTTTGTAAGCTGTATTTCGATTATTGACAGAGTAGTCCTCTGCAGGTGAAATGCATAAGTGGTTACACGGCTGTCCCGTGATGGTGCTGTTCATGTGTTCATGCGATTTTTAAATAAACCGACGGCTTACCATAATGTGAGCGACGGCTCACCATATTTTCCATTACAATTACATTTAAAAAAATGAGTCACAGAGATACCGCAGACGGTTTCGTACTACATCTGTACCTCTAGCTATCCTCTGGTAGTCCTCTGGTAATATAAAAAAACAAAACACTAACAACAATAACTGTGAAATTGATTAATTAAGTGTGAAATTTTAATTTAAAAGTAACCCTGTCATCGCTTGTATAATTAATAATGGACGTTTTAATTTACATTTAATATGGTTATTAGTTCCGATCGCTTCATTTTGAAGACACTGCGCGATAGTTAACGACTTCCGTGGTACCAGTGTAACACACAGTAACGTAGTATGTAATAGTATCTACTAATATAATACATATTAAAGTCACGCAGTTTACTTATTAAACTGTTTATTACCTGCGTAGAGTTAGACTGCAAAAAGTCATCTACGTGAGTACCTCAGTACCACTGATTCCAGCCACTTAGCAGCTCCCTGTAAATGTTAGGCAGTGATACAGGATAAGAGAGTTCTGTTATAGCAATGCAGAAGTGGTGGCCGTATGTGGTGCTATTCAAACATTTTTTTTCACAATTTCACAGAGAACAGGATTTCACTTATATACGTATATACCGTACCAGATGTAGATATTTATACCAGTCATTAATAAAGTATAAATGTTGGTAAAAGTATAAGTAAAGATTACCACTTACCGTCACATAAACTGTCTGCTTATTTATTATTCCAGTTGAATGATTTTTGAAGAGAATAAAAAGAACTTTTTTTCAATTATACCTACTTAAATTTATACACTTTAGAATAGTCACACTTTGTTTTAATTTATCATTCATTTCAAAAGCAGTCTGGACACAAAAATGAGCAAGAAACTTACCTGTTCTTTTATATTATAAAATGTTTCTTTCTATAAAGATACGACTTGTATATAATTTTTCGTCTTTCAAAATAGACCATTTTGTGTCGAAGCATTTAATTCCGGCACATTGTAATGCATGGTTGCTCCTAGAATCGTAAAATAATCAGATTGCAATGGGTTTATTACCAAAATAATAGATAATTTGTTACATATTTAGAAATATACAAGCGGACGTAATGTCTTGAGATCTTCTCAGCTAATTGGGGTAATACGCAATGTTGCTCTCGATTTATCTTGCTCATCGACACAAGTAGTACAAAAGAGTCTTCATTTATGCATTTGACCATGACACTATACTTATTTCGATGCGAATTTATTTTCTAATGGCTGATAATGATATGGTGCACCCGCTTGCGCTAACGATATACGATATACGCTGGCGCCCAACCACCTATAGAGCAGTGGAAGATGATAGAATTAGAACCACGATGTTTTCAAGGGTGGACCGCGTGGAAATAGATTTAACATACATTGATAGTAATGCTACAAGCCTCTATTGCAAATAATCCAAATCCTCTCCTGATAGATTTTTTAGCCATAGTAGAGAATAACCAATAAATAGATGCTAAAAGAGAGAGAGAGAATTAGCCCATCAAAATCAATATTCAGTGTTTTTATCACCGGGGAGTTTCTGTCAATGAAAGATAAGTGTTTATACGTAATTTGAACTGTATACATAATCCAAGGTATACGCAAACCAAGGGATTCATTCTGTAAATATTACTTTTTATATGGAGTGTTATAGTAGATACCTAGCAAGTATTACGACACATCCTCAACGGCGATCGGATCGGACCACCAAGCATGACGCAAGAAGGTGCGCTACCGAGAAAACCACCTGCGTCGAATCAGCATTTTAGTCCCCACAGCAATAACACCCATTTCCCTGATTTTTAATTTTATATAATTGCACTTACGGATCACACATCGATCCGAAGACACCTATATAATTGTAATAATTAATTTTTAGAATTAAATTTAGTTTACTTATAAAAATTGGTTTTTTTGGGTCTTCCGCCAGCGACTTCAATAACTGGCGCAGTCGGTAGGATACTCGAGACGTATCGAGAATAGAAATAGGGTATATCTCACATCGATTACCGTGTCGTCTATGATCGCTATCGTCGTCGCGAGCGATTCGCGTCCACGAGTATCCAGAAAGAAGAACCTGAAGTTTCCTGGCTGGAAGAGAAATCAAGACATCGATCCTAGAACTACCAATATGCAGCGCATGTGAGTACACTATACATTTTTCCTGTAAAGTTGCTCTCAAGGTGTAAAATTTAGTGAATAGTTATATAGTTTAGTTGCAACCATTTTCCACCCTAGGAAAATCACCCCTAGAGGGCCTGCGCGCGATAGACTATCCCGTAGGCTCAATTTAGATAGAAATAGAGATTTAACTTTAGAATCAGTGTCCGAGGAGTCGGAATATAGTAATATGGGTGACGTAGATAATATTCTGAAGGCCATGCGCCTAGTACCAGAATTTGATGGTAATCCTCACGTCTTACCTAGATTTATCCGTCTTTGTGACCAATTTGTTAATGAGTATTGTATTAAGGAAAATCCTGGCAACGAGTTTGTTAATTTATGTATTGTAAATGCTATTTTAAATAAAATAACTGGACCAGCCGCGCGCATAGTAAATTCTAACGGATTATCTGAGAATTGGGATAGCATTAAAAAAGATTTAATTAATAATTTTTCGGATCAAAGAGACGAGACCGCTCTTTACAATGATCTTATGTTAGCTACACAAGGAAATAGGTCTCCACAGGAATTTTATGACCATTGCGTTAACATGTTCAGCACTATAATGACTTATGTGACTTTGCACGAAACTATTAGCACTACTGTCGAGGCGAAACGTATTTTATATAGGAAACTAACTAAAGATGCATTTGTTCGAGGCTTAAAAGAGCCATTAGGTTCTAGAATACGTTGCATGCGTCCTGATAATGTCGAGAAAGCTCTCGAGTTTGTACAAGAGGAATTGAACGTCATTTATTTGCAAGGCCGTAATGAAAATAATGATAAAAAGGCACATATGCATAATCCACTACCTAAACCGTCTTCTTTGGCCTTACCATCTAGTACTATGCCTATTTATAAGCCGATCAATTCCTTAGTACGACCACCTCTTTTGCATCAGTGGCAATCACCGCCCATGCAACAACCATGGAAAGCTAGTTATCCGCCTAACCAGCCTGTACAATACAGACCTCCAGGTATACCTTCACGCACACAACAGATATTTAGGTCAACACTCCCAAATTATAACCCTCAATTTAATAAATTTCAATTACCTTCAAGGCAAGCTCCGCAAACTCAAGGGCCTAAACCCATGAGTGGTGTAAGCCATTATGTCGCTAGGGAAAGACCTATACAGGGTCAATTAACTGGACATGATTGGCATAGACATGGAAATCCGCCTCCAACGAACTATTTTAAGACTAGGGATATGAATATGAATGAATGTTCTGACTATAATTATAATGATTATTATTACTATACCGATTTTTCTCCATACTACGATTATGATAACTATTATTTCGAACATAATTATGATTTAGAAAATAAGACGGATTACTTTAATTATAACGACCAAGATTTTAATAACTTGAATGAGGATCATACTTACTCTGCGGATCCTCAACCTTCAACAAGTTCTATTGAGGAGCAGGATTTTCCCAAGCGGAGGAAATCAGAAAAATCAAAATAGAAATTAATATGCACACTCAAAGGCAATTACCATTTATACAAATTTCAAATCCACCTATGAAATTCCTTATAGACACTGGAGCGAATCAATCATTCATATCTCCAGAAGCTGTAGACCGATTTTTCTATAATGTTCACTTAAACTATGAACCGTTTGAAGTAACGAATGCCCATACTACGTCTAGACATAATTATTCTATTACTATTCCTTACTTTAAAGAGTTTAGGGAGCCAGATGGAATGAAATTATTCATTTATAAATTTCACAAAACTTTTGATGGTTTAATTGGATATGATTTACTGGAACAACTAGAATCAAATATAGATCTTAAAAATAAATTACTTAAAACCCGTAATAGTAGTATCCCCATTAATTTATATAATTCTTGTAACGTTAATTTATACGAGGATGTTATTCCTGCTTATTCAAAGAAATTGCTAAGACTTCCAATTAATTTACAAGACGGTGAAGCTTTTATTAAGCAACAATTTTTTTCTAATTGTATCGTTAGTGACTGTGTAACTATGGTAAAAAATAGTCGCGGATTTGTTGAAATTGCAAACCCAACAAATCATGATATAATATTT